TCCCTTTACCAAACTGACTTTTCTCTTTGGTATATTTTTGCCATAAAAGTTAAGCCTGTGTCCAAACTGGCAGTATGAGGTCCTGACCACTCACAGTTATTACTTTGCTCTAGGAACTATGGAATAATAGGACTATTCCAGATTTACTCACTGTCCCATATTCTGTCCTCTGGCATTGACATGTACAATGCTGAAACTCATTTTCTACACTGACTTCAGAAATAAAGCAAAGTAGTGTCAGCTTCTTCAAATATGCATCTGAATAAGCTGAAGTCAATAAACACATTTGTATAAAGTATCTCACCTTCTTCTCCACTAACCAATTCACCGAGTTGTTCGTCAACACCAGAGCACACTTGCAATATAATTTCATTCTGTATATCCGTAATCCCATCAAAATTAGCCACATTGAAAACATGCTTCAGGGAAGGTTGAGATGCAATTACCTTGAGTTCTTTTGCATCTGCTGCTTTGATTCCTAAAAGTTGAAATAGACAGGATCATTTTAAGGGATCATAAAGTACCAATATTTATGATTGTAAAGTATCAGAATATTCTGGGGTAAAGTTGGGTTGAATTGAGTTCTGTCATTATAACCAAACTAAACAAACAAATAAAAAAGTTGATGCAATGAGTTCATAAACTACACTTTCGACTTATGGACTAATGTGATATGTTGTGATATGTTTGTTAACACCAAGGGTCAAGCTATTTCTTCCAGTCTCTTCCTACCCTCCATGTAAGAGCTATAAAATTACTATTAAATTAACACAACATGGAAAGCACATAGTCTGCAAAATGCGTAACTTACTTATTGCTACAGGAATCTTAACGACTCAAGCATTAAAAAATTTCAATGTACCTAAAGAAAAAACTTCAACTCCTATGTTGCGAAGCTCTCTTGCAGGAATTTCTACTTCATCTTGAGCTTTTCCATCCGTAATGACAATTGCTACTTTAGGGAAGCCTTTTCTTGCTCCAGCAGACTCAGTAAAGGTGTTTTTAACCAGGTAATCAATAGCTTCACCTAAAAGCAGCAGTACAAGATATGTTTTATTAGGTATGAAAGAAACAGGATTTAAATCAAAGTTCAAGTATAAGATTAAATGTTCCATAAAGAGAAACACGAGAAATTTGTACCTGTCATTGTATTGCCACCTTTGTAAGGTATCCTTTTAATTGCATCAATAAGATCACTTCTTTTGAAGTACTGATTTAAGTTGAATTCTGTTCTTGTATCTGAACTGTACTGAACAACTCCAACTCTTGTCTTGTCCTCCCCAATGTCAAAAGCTGATACAAGGGCAACCATGAAGTCCACAATATACCTGAAGTTACTTCTTCCTACACTCCAAGAACCATCTACCAAGAAAACTAAATCTGTCACTGCACTTATGGAGCATCCTGGAAAAAAAAAAGTATATATATATAAGCAGATGAGTAATTGCATGCTTACAAGTCAGTGAAAAATGTCTGACAGAAACTTAATACGTAAGAGTCAAAACAGCCACTGAATAGACTGGTATTCTTATCTGAAAAATCTTACTCAGCAAAGTATTGATCACCTAGGAAATAGCAATACCAAAAGGGAGCTGTCACCCCCAGAAAATCAGTTTTGACACCCCTTTTACTATATTCCACAAGATCTGTTATCCCACAGCACATGACAGCTCATATACATAATTTTGTGAAACAGTTTGATGTTATGGAACATTTCATTTTGTTATCACCTCTATTATCCATCTTTATCTCCCCATAACAGCTGCACAGTTTCTTCTGCAATGCTTTGCATCTACAGAACAATACCTCTTAATAGACATACTCATGAGGTTGCATGGGGTTGATTAGTTACAAGAAATTTGTAGCTTCTGTATCAATTTTGCATCTCATTCCTACAATGCAGCTACAAATTCCTTCAATTTTAGTCCCTTTCCAAGCTTTCTTAACCCTAGATAAGATTAAAAATAACAGAACATTTATTGTTAAGTAACACTGGAATAGCTCTTAGCTTTGTGAGTTTTGGAGCTAGCTCTCAAATAATATCTAAAACATTTGAGGTCTCAAAAGACAAAACATCTTACTTTGTAATTGAGTCTCAACCTTCTTTTCCTCTGGTATTCCCGGACCACCTGTCTGGACTGTACAAAGCACAACACAGACAGGATTAAAGGAGGAAATGAGACTGCAAATTAAATTTAACATCTAAGGAGAAAAGTGAACAAGGAATTAGGCAATCTGACAAGCGTCAGTACGCAAATACATAAAAACAAGTTATGACTACCTCATCTATACTTGTAGATTTAATAACATAATATTCAAGGCGATCAAGAATAAGGAAAAAGAGAAAAAGAATAATTAAAAGTTCTCTGTCCTTATGTATCTCATCTCTTAATTATTTTCCTGAAAATGCATAGCAGTCTCCCTGGATACAATACCAATATTACCCATCCCTATATTACCCCTCCCTAATATACATGGAAACTCCTCATAAGTAACTTTCCTGAAGTTTGAGAAGTTTGAGACAAAGTCAGGAAGAAAATGTATCATAGAAGATAGTCTCCTGTGATTAAATTACAATTAATAAACACAAACCATATATATTTCAATTCTATATTTTATTACACATATATATTGCCTCATATTATATCATCTGATAAAGTAATTTTTTTTGCACAAAATTTTGGACTGATAAATTTCTTCCTGAAGTTAAAGATAGTCTTCCTTTTCACTTCAGAAGAGGCAGTTTATATGAAGTAGTTCTACTTCAAGAAAACCAGTAGCCTCCTGCAAAGAATTCTCTATAGGCTGCTAGTCCTCCCTTATCTCCAATAAAATATCTTAGCTCTTGCTAGGAATTATGTTTAATGAGGAATAAAAGGCCAATTCTGAAGCTATCATTGACCAGACCTTAAGCACATATCAATATTTTGTCAGGAAATTGGAAAGAAGTGAAGCTCTATGACTGACCACTTAGTTGTGTTATTTGGTTTTCCAACTTACAGCATATACTTACTTGTCAGCTGGCCAAAAACAGGTAGACTCTCCTCTCTCTCATCATATGAAGCTATTGATACAACATACTCTAAATCAGGTATAAGATCTGATAAAATTGTTTGGGTAGTACTAGGTGAAAGAGTAAATTCTTTAGTAGGTCCATCTACAATAAACATATAAAAGAGTCAATGCAATGTTTCAATCAAGTAGTATCAGTAATAAGTTTCACATAATCAAAGAAAAAAAGCAAGAGAATGATCTGTCTAGATTCCTAATGACAGCTTTAGAGAATACACTTTTCTTTCCTAAATCATGATTTTGCAATATTAAACTTCAAACTAATCTGTTTTCGATAATGAATAAAGTTATTGAATTAATTGTCCAATAAATACCAGTAAATTGAAACCCAAAATGCATATACAAAACATGCTACCTTAAACAAATCATGGCCCAGTTCTGACCCAGTATCACTATTACACAGGTTTCTCTAAGTGTAAAGGAATAATGAATGTCTTACATAGTTATTATCAGAGGACTTGTGACATCACTGCTTCCTTCTCAGATGTGCAACATTTCCCTCAGGAAAAATACTCAAATGAAATACAGTACAATTCCCTAATTTTAAGGAAATTTAAGGAAAGAGCATAAAGAAGGAGCAAAGTGATTCTTTCATTTTGTTCCTTCCGATGGTAAAGCATCTAAAACTACTTGCAGCCCCAAAGAGTAAAATCTATGATAATAAAAACTCTTCACTTGGAACAACCACAGCTCCCTCCCCTATACCCTTTGCTGCTATCCAAACTCAATAATAAAACTGAGAAAGATGTGAACATCTGTTCTAACACCTAACTTTAATACAAGTAAAACTGATTCTATATTTTAAAAGATTTAATAATATAACAAAATTTTATAAAGCTCACCATTTGTAGGGACCACCGTTATTCTGTAACCCATTATTGCACCAGGTGGTCTTTTCCATGACATTTGAACATTATGTTCATCTATAATTGTAAAATTCAAGTCTGATGGTGGATCAACTGCAAAAGATTTATACCGGATAGATGTTTAAAAGTTTGAGCAACATTTGGCAAATGAATAAATAAAATAATGTTGAGCAAAGCTTACTACAATTGTCTTTGCATAAATTTGTTTCCAACAAACATACAGATATGTTGTTGGAAAAAAAGTAAAATAAAAGCTGATGAAATATGACAAAACATCAAAGAGAATACGCATCACAGAGGACAGCACAGAACATATGTTTCTTGAGTTGCCAAGACATTCAAGAATGGCCAGCAAAATCAAGCACAATAGAAAACACATTTGGATACATGTACAATGAGTTCACAGATAATCACCACATATGCAAACGTTTCACATAACAATTAAAGGAATTTTTGTACATGCTGGGTGCAATTCATACAAGCATGCCAAATCACAACCTGCTTACAACACTATGAGATAATTTAAACATTGAGAACAAAGTACTCAATTAAACAGAAAAGGATTGCTCAGCTTTTTAAGTCTCTGCATGGTCATATTTCTTATAAATTATATTTCACTGAATCTAGAATCTTGGCAGAGAAAAAAACAATTTTAGGAACATAGAGAAAGATTGCGCACTTAATGTTAAATAAAGCAATTTTTATTGGGAACTATATATGAATATACATGTAAAATGTATACCAGTAATAATGATATATTGAAGTATCATTTTATTTCAAAAAGCTGAGAGCTCTACCCCTTTGTTCCTAGAAGCCACTAAAGCATACTTTGCTTATGGCTGCAAAGAGCTCAGGAATTTAGGGGTTAATACATTGTAATAGTTATAATGTGCAGAAATATTTGAGCTTATGCATAAAATCATAAATTCAAGATTCTACCTGTTTACACCGAATTGCTGTACGATTTCCATGGTGTAAACTTGTTTTCATGTTCCCTTTGCAGCAGGTGTACCCATACTAGTAGTGGCATTTTAACATAAAATGCCAGTATGGTTCCATACAACACAATGGTTAATTATGAAAAGACAACATCGAAGTATATTTATGGACATTTATTCACAGAATTTATAGAAAATAGTGAAGAGGGCACCAGTGATCTGAACAAATGACCGCAAATAAAACTTGTAGGAGCTGATGACAGAAGTAACTGAACAGTACGGAAAGAAATACGCTATTTGGCAGCATCATGCATATGTACAGGAAATGTTGATTATTATTTTTTTAGCTTCCCACAATGGACAAAAGCCTCCATGTACAAGGTTCATTGCACAAAGACGATTCATAAATATTTTATAATGATATTCTCTTTGCAAAATTGTCATGCTTATTCATGCAGTATTTTACTGACTCACTGTCAGTGCATGGTAGGTGTATTATATATTACTGTTTAAGTAGATCTACAAAGTAAGATTAGATTCAGCCATACTCTCCTTCACTACTTTAGACTGTTTTGCAGGCATTTTTTAATAGTCAGATCTTCTCTGCTTCATGGAAGATCTTGTCAAATCTCAGATACAATTGGATGCTTTGTTTTTTTAACATAATTTAAAGAGCAGATAAAGAAACAAATGCTAGAATGTACTTAGGGTAAGACTCTGCACAATTACAATAAATAATATTGTAATTGAAAAATCGAAAATGAAATATATTGCATAGGCATTCTTTTCATTTTTAATTTACTGCCATTTCCAACCATAGGATAATATGGCTTTGTAATACTGATACAACAGATACACTAGTATTGGAACAAATGTTATTTTTCCTATTGTCCATACACAGGCAGTGAGATTAGACCATTAACCTGCATGCACAGTTTGTTCATCATTCTGTTTACTATTATCACATTGCTAGAGAAAGCAAAGTAGTTATTTAGTATCAAAGTCATGCAACAGGTGTTAATAGTAAAATACATCTAGGTACTAAGAATATCATTATAAAATATTGTTTCAGTAGCAATGGCTCAGGACAAATTTAATGCAAAGGCAGAGACAACTGACCTGAGCATGCTTTAAAAAAAAATCAGTACATGGAAAAAATAGTGCCACCAACCTTGCCAGCAAATTGACCTGTTGCAGCAGAGACTTTAGGCTCTTACTGCTGAAGGACAGCAGCAGCCCAACTTGTTGATATCCAAATGACCGGATTCCAGATAAACTGAAAAACTGACTGTGAGGAAAAGTCTTTAACATTTTAAAGGATTTTAATCCATTTTATGAAAATTCAACTTGGAACTTGGCAGTTAGAAAGAATAGCACATTGATATGTAATTCATGTATCCTTTCATCCATGTATTCATAGACTTATAAAACAACAGTGTTGTGGAGGAGGACCTTAGAAGTCCCCCAGTCCATCCCATGACTAAGACAAAGTTGGCTGTCTCATGTCATTCCTGACAATGTTTGCTCAGATGATTCTTAAAGACCTCCACTGTTGGAAAGTCTGCCAGCTTCCCCTAGGAACTACTCCAATGACTCACTTCCTCTATCATTATAAAAGATACTAATTCCTGACACCTCACCTGAATGTTTATTGATGCCATTTAAATCCATTCATTCTCATCTTTGTCTTATAATTAAAGCATTTAGTGTTTCTCCCATTGAATTCCCAAAAGGAACTTTGCTCGAATGACAAAAAAAGCAGCTTTGAATCCAATGTCATCAAACTGTCTTCTAGATGAATGCTACTCAAGTTACAAAAGACTTCTCTGGCTTGCAAGCCTTCGATTCTCACACAGAACATCACAGACATCTGTAGAACTTCACATGGACCAGGTTTCACCCATGTGAAACTGGCTGTAGGATCAAGACCAAACCATGGTCGCATGATTGAGCATTTTAAGTCAATCTGAAGTTCAGCAAAATATTTAGATAATAAAAATCTTACTTTTATCATCAAACACGGCAACTATTATTCAACCTTATTAAAATTCTTCTTCTGCAAGGGAATGCACCATTGGAAAGATAATGTAGCCGTGATATGGATGCAGACTTGTATGAACAAAATGTCCTGATAATGATGGAAACTGTTCCATGAGAGGCACAGACCTTAAAACTGTCATTCTACAAAGGCTTAAGAATGAGAGCAGCTTTACTCAAGCAAGCAAACTTTATCGTTGGCCTATTCACATAAGTGAGGCTGCACATACACTTACAGCATAGAGTTGATCATCTTGATCCTGCATCCATCAAAATCAATGATCAACCTCTCAAAACCTCTCATGGACTTGTCAAGTGCAGGATCATGACTGTAACGTGGTGGTTTAACAGTATTCCCATAAGTACTAAAACAGATGTGAGTAAGTAAGTATAATGCTGGGAGGAAGGGAAGAAATACACATTTGGCTTTGGAGTGGAGATAGAGAATGGATTCCAAACTATATTTGCTTTCTTAAATCATGGAAGTCCATACCTGGACATAGACAAAGCTAAGCCAGGCACAAAAGTCATCGATTTCACTTACGATGTGCAGAAATGTATGGTTCCCTTATAAGCTGCCAGTGAAGTAAAAAATAGTAAATGTCAATATCACTATCTAACATTTCCAAAAGACTAACTTCCACCTCTTTTAGAACTACCATAAGATAGCTTCCTTCCTTATATATTACAGGAGAAAAAAATAAAACAAACAAAATATTCTTAATTCATTGTAACTCTTTGCATAATATACATATATAATAGCAGTATATTTTCTGAAACAAAAATATAGAGCAAGATATGTTATGTACATCTTATACTAGATTGTATTACTTAACAGGTAATACCAATCTAATGTATAAAAGTCTACAGATTTTTACAGATAACGCAATGTGACTGCTTCATTTCAATGAATATCTAATAAGGTTAAAAAAAAATAAAAACCAAAAAAAACATAACCAGAAGATCAAGCCATTTTAATCTAAAATCATATTTTTAAATGATATAATTTGGAAGAAGGTGCCATCCACAATCCCTTTGTGAAACAAAATCTGTAATTCCATCACTGGAAAAAAATAGCTATAAATAGTATGTAAATTAATATGTTAGCATGCCATAACAGTTGAAGAATAAGCCCAGGCTTGGTCTCACTGAGATAAGCCTATTTGAGGCAGAGAGATACCAATATGCCTCATTTACTCTTTTCTTGATCTACGGCACGCATCTGTGTTGACACAAGTAATTATATCACCATCCCAGTCAAGCTCCTCTGTAGTCAGTGCTGTCAATCTTAATGGGAGGGAGAATGAGTTGCAACACAGCAAGGTAATAGAGCAATCGCTCAGCCTTGTTAGATATTCACTGTCAATCACAACACAAAAACATTGCCATCTGTCTGTTTGCATTTTTTAATTTTATATATGTATATAAATTTTCTTTAAAATACTAGGTAACTCACATGAGTATACTCTGAAAACATTTCATTTTAAAAACGTATTTATCAAGACATATGTAACAACACAGTTGAATATATATATGCACATACTGCATGTTTCTGCATACATGTGCATGTATGTGCACATGTATCTCTATACATACACACAAACACTTTGCTTCTAGTTAGCAATAGGAAAAGCAAGGACTTACTAGTCACCTCCATGAATATTGCTCTTTCACACTTAAAATTACTAGATTCTGTAAAGCAGTCAATCTCTCTTTAGGAACTTGGAAATCAGCTACTGGTTTCTCAAAATACAGAGATCAGATATCAACTGGTAATGAAATAAAGATCCCACCAACCAGATGAAAGCCAAGGAGGTGAGTAACTTGAAAAAGCTTCAGCTATTCTGGATCATCTCTGAACTAGTTAGTCTGTGAAAATGAATGCATGCAACGCATGAAGAACTTCTGAATATATAACTGCACTGCTGCAATTATTTGTCACTTCATGAATTTTATGTCTTGCAGATAGGTCTTTTAATTTACAAACCTTTTTCTACGTGTGGGAATACACAAGGGACAAACACCTTGCACAGTGATGGTCTCCTTCCCTATCTTTAACCATATAGCAGACTTTTCTAGGTCTGAATCAGTTCCTAAAGAGTCAGAGACTCAAAACTTTCAGATCAGAAATATGATGTGCTACTAATTAAAATACCACAGGAAGAAACTCAAGACGCACAACGGAAGGTCTAAAAGTCATGCAGGACAAACGATCTCATTCCGTTCTTGAAAACCAAATACTACATACTGCAGAAGTTACGGTACCATATGCCACGATTACCTCGAGACCATAGCTAACAGGTTATTCACATACCAGTCTAACTGGCTTACCAAAACATGAAAGCCTTCTTATCTGTCCAAAGTACAGAGATTTCCCCTTGCTCCTTGCAATCACAGATGGAAAACAAATAGTGACAAATGTTTGACACAAAGATGTACACATAGTGCATGAAGTGCCACAGTGCTGGCTTAAAGAGACAAGAAAAAAGATGATAAACTATAGCATCATACACAAGAAGTCAAAGCTGTGACAAGAGCAGTCAGGATAGCAACACAGAAAAAGTAGAATTTCACTGTAAAAGAGAAGGGCAAAACGCAGAACCTGAAAACTGAACTGGCTTCCATGCCCAGGCTGAGCAAAAATCTTCTCCAGTGAAATATCATGACATTATTTAGACTTCAGTTGGTTTTATCCCCTCTACCTCTATAGTAGATGTCCAAATATAAACTCCTGCACTGGATTATTTTTGTAGGAAGGCTCTATCACCATGACCGCAGCTCACTGCCTGCCAAAAGCAGCTTCTCTCACGAGCACTGCTCTCACGAAGGACCAAAGAGCAGCTGTGACACTGATGAAAAAACAGTTTCATCCTGGAGTATTTAGAAATCTGTGCAGATCAGCAGCAGATCTACTCCTAAGTGAGATTGGAAAACAAAGGCTAGAGGAGACCAAAAAATATATGTTCTTCCCTTCACTCCCCCTTCCCAGCCCACTCCTACAACAAGTGGTCACACAAAATGGTCTTCCACCTTTTCCTCCTCTCCCTTTTTCATTGCCTACCTGTATGTCAGGGAAACAAAATTCAAACTGCATTTCTGTTGAAAACCATAGAGAAAGCCATGAGAAGACAAAAAAAAAAAAAAAAAAAGAAAAGAAATGCACTAAAGAAGCAACAGTCATTCCACTGTTTTGGCACTGACAGCCTGGTCAGGACTGGTGGGGAAAGGATTGTGAGGTCAAATGTGATGTCAAAGGTGGAGGAACAGACTAAAGGGACAAACGTCCACAGAAGAAGCTCAGTTCAGCAGACAGGTGCATGGTTATAAGGAGACCAGAAGTAAGATACAATACGAAATGTACAAAATGTTTCAACATTAAAGCACAAAGTTAAACCAGTAGAGAAGGATGGTCAGTTCAGTGCAAACAAATAAACAAACAAACAAAACATACTGAAAAAGCTCTGCAACAGTAGCTTTTGCAAGAGCAAATCCTAAGGCACCCCTGGTTCTGATGCTCCATTTTCAGCATCACTATTTCTCATTGCACATCCTTCTCAAGAGACTCATCTGCATTTCACAACTTCTGAGATATGAAATGTTTCTTTGAGAAAGTTGCCTGCTGTAGATTATGGACTTAACACAAATTTCTGAATGGACAGCTGCTCGGCAACTCACATCGGGGTTTTCCTCCCCGATGTTTTCCCCCCAACAAGATCGGGGTTTTCCTCCCAAAATGTGAATTAAACAAACTTGGGCAGTTTGACCGCTAACATATCTAGTTTCACCATTACAGTATCTATATGTTTCTCCAAATATATTTTCCAACTTTCAATAACAGCACTCAAGCTAATCATTATTTTAGTCCACACTACAGCTAATTTAATCATTCTCACATTTATTTTGAAACAACTTCCCCCATAAGCACAAACAATGAAGCAGGACACCAGCAACACAACTAGCACTCAATGAGATCCTTCCAAAAATGGGGAAGAATGCACAAACACACTCACCCTCCTCTTCCCTCAAAACCATGTATTTTTTCAGCTTTCTCTGGAGCAATGGTCCTGCATTTCAAATGCAACTCTGAAATGACTTTAAATGACCTTTCTGGTTCCTCAGCCAACAACAACGTAGCGTGAGAGGAGAGGCAGCAGACTGATTCTCTCCTAGGGTGACCAGATGTTATACTACTAGTAGTCATAGTTTCCAGAAGGCCAATCTCCTGAAATGTGCGTGCCCCAAACAAGCACTGCTGCAGCGGGAGGAAATACCCCAGAGGAGCTCCCTACATGCTGTGCTTTTAGCAGTCGTGAGCCAAGGCCATCACATCCAGATGCAGACAGGAGCCCAGCAGGCAGCATCAGACAACCAGCTTAAATCCAATACAGAAAGCAGAGGAAGGGAAAAGCTGAATTATCAGAAACTGGCTCCTGCTTTTCCAAAACAATCTGAAGGAGGTCAAACCCAGAGGCTTGATTAACCTTAAGATGGAGTTGTGTCCCAAAGGTCATACATAGTCATTGCAGAGCAGGCCATTAAGATGGGCCTCACATCTTTTTTTTTTTTCCTGGCACACGCTGTTGACAAAAATACTATTACTACTACTGCTACAACAGCCGGTCCACTCACACGTAAGAGCACAACCAAGGTTACCCTCGTACTCGCTGTCAGTCCGTCAGGGAGGCAAGCGCTCCAGGGCCGGGTCATTTTGGGCTGCACCGTGGCAGGCGCCTGGCCACATGGCGCTCTCCTGAGCTCCATCCTCACAGCGGGAGGGAGGCAGGATGCTACCAGGGACGCACATCTCCAGCAAGGCTAGGCTGGACCCCGCAAGAAGAAGACAAAGAACACAACGAACATGGAGAAAAAAGGCCCAACAGAGCCCAGGGAGCGACGCCTCCCCTCCGGGCCGGCCCGAACAAACCACACAAGGCGCAGAGAGACAGACTCTGTGGGAGCATTTTATTTCAAAGCTTTGGAGTGTGCTCTGTGTGTGTGTGTTGCTTTTTATTATTATTATTCCTTTTTCCTCCAAACCAGACAGAACCGAGCACGGCTGCGCAGTGCCGCTGGCAGCCCGCAGGCTGTGCGGGGCTGGTGTGGACAGCACACCAGAGAGACAGAGAGGAGGAGCTGCCCTTTGCCTGGGCTAGCTGCAAGAAACAGAGCACAGAAGGAGCTGGGCAAGGAAGGAGAGGCGATTCTCTGAAGGAGAGAAGGAGAGAAAGTGCAGTAGTTACACGCAAAAATAAAGCAGAGGGGAGCTGCAGAGGGGCTCGCTGGTGGCCCAGCGGGTCGGGGGGCAGAGGTTACCTTCGGCCTCTGCGCAGGAGAGCAGGGCAGCCGCGCAGAGGGCAGCCAGCGCCGCGCACAGCTCCGTCTTCATCTCGGCGCCACCAGGTCACAGCGACATGAATGAATCTGCAGCCATGAGGGGGGTAAAAAAAAATAAGGAAAGAGGAAGAAAGAAGGGGACAAGACGCACGGATTAGAGGGTGGCGTGGGTGTATTCATGAAACACACAAAACACGGAGCGCTGCAGATGCCACTTTGTTCCCTTATCCCCCTGCCCCCACCCACGGGACCAGGTTGGAAGCTCTCTCCTTGGCAGCCGTCCCGAAACCGCGACGTCTCGCCGTGACTCACACGGAGTCCCGCCTCGCAATACCGCGCGGCGCCTCCCCGGCACGGCCGCGCTCCCGCCGCGCGCCCGCTCCGCCGGCGTCGCTGCCACCCCACGGCCCCCAAATGTCTCTTCCAGCTGGGCATTTCACGCGGCTCCTTTTCCACGACTGCTGAAGCACTTACTTAACCACATTTTAGTGGTCTCAGGGCAGTTTGGAAAGCACAGTAAAACTATTTTTTTTAGGGGTTCTGCCTACGACTGTGCAATTCTTCGTTTCTTGAAGGGCTGAAATAGATTTTGCAGAAGTGCGGGTAACACACGGCTGAAACCTGAAACGTCTGCCTAGCCACCATGTTTCAACATCTGATAATTCATTTACACGTTCTCAGAGAAAATGCCTTTAAAATACATCATTAAAAAAAAAGGCAGGAGAATGCATCTCGCAACTGCTGCAGGTTGCCTGACAAAATAGGTGGGAATTAGGCTGATTCAGTGGCTCCTGACTGCAAGCAGCATTATCTTTATAACTCTATATGCTCAAGGTCACAACAATTTACCCCGAATTGCTCCAGTAAAACTTCCATATGAATTTTTGTCTAGGTAAGAGTTAATATGTACAGCTCGCATTACATATGCATAAAAGTGTCCCTTTTTTATGCTCAATAATAGAGCAGGGTGATTTATTTGAATGAAGTAATAAGTACATCACATATCGTAATTAGGAAACATAATTCCACCAGCAATGAGGCAACGGAGCTCATCAGGGAGGTGCCAAAAGCCAGAAAGAAAAAGAGAAAAATACACAAATCAGCTGCAGAAACAGCTAGAGAGGAATATATCTTCCTGCCATCTAAAGAACTGAATAGCAAAGCAAATTTAGTGGCTAGACGCTCTTGAGATCCAAGAACACTCTTCCCAGCTACTGGCACCGAAGTTCACAGCTCCCGCCGGACTGCTGCATACTTGCAACGACCAGAACTACCAAAAATTACAGGGGAAAAAAAAAGTGGAGCAATGGTTTCCGTTCAACGATACCTCCCGCAGTGCAAAGAACTGCAGTATTGACTGTAACAAGTCCCCGTCTCCAACATAAGAAGGACGGAAATTTAATTTGAATTGGTCCTGGAGAGCTCCGTAATCCTTTCCCTGCTCTGCGTGGGAAACGGCAAGCCCCGAGCACATCCTGCTTGTGGGATGCTGCAGGGGCTCCCCGGGCTGTGAAACTCTGGGTTAAACGATTTTTGCGCCGGCACTGTTGTGTGGGCTTGCAGTGCCATCTTTTGATCCCTACAAAGAGCACCAGAAGTAAACGAGCGCGCAAAAGCAGCTAGAACTTCATTCTTTGGCTGCTGCCTCGAGACTGACATGCCTCATACATATATATCTTTTATGAAATAAAACTGCTCAGCTGAAACACGCCTTTGACCGCCTAGCCGACACCTCGTTCCCTTCTTTCAAGCCTGGGTGTTTAAACGAAAACCTGGATATGGCAGGGGAAGCTCCTGGCTGTGCTGGGACAAAAGTAGCCTGCAGAGCACAGCTGAAAGTTTTACCATTGATCTT